AGCCCGCGTTGTCACGCGCGTTGCTCCTCGCATTGCGATGCACTTTTCTATCGACGCCGCGATTGTCTGCATTCAATATCACTTTGAACATGTGTTGCTAATTATGTTGTGCTTGTCGAGTTTTCTTTCTTTTGCAGGCACGATATTGTATGTACGGTTCATTTGAGGCTGGTGCGACCAGACGAACCGCACAGGTATTGTATCTTCTTCGTGTGAGACGCGGCGAGAATTGAATAATTCTCCGTATTCTTAACTGCATGAAATGTAGTTGTTGCTTTGCATTCTTGCTTAAAATTGTTGCATTTATCGTGAATATGTGCTTCATTACTGCTTGCTGCATTCGCATGATCCTTGAGTTACCTTCGGCTTCTTGCATTGTCAGTTGCATTTTGCCCCCCCTGCCTACGGGCATGCCTGCGGGCACATCTCTGTTTGTCTTGCCTGTTTGTCTAAGTCTTCGGCCTTGTCAAAAATGGGTCGTCTCTGGGCTTTGACATTCACTCCTGTCACTTATGACTTCCGAGTTTTGTCAAAGAGGGGCAACGTTGCATTTATCGTGAATATGTGCTTCATTACAGCTTGCTGCATTCGCATGATCCTTGAGTTACCTTCGGCTTCTTGCATTGTCAGTTGCATTTTGCCGCCCCTGCCTACTGGCATGCCTGCGGGCACATCTCTGTTTGTCTTGCCTGTTTGTCTAAGTCTTCGGCCTTGTCAAAAATGGGTCGTCTCTGGGCTTTGACATTCACTCCTGTCACTTATGGCTTCCGAGTTTTGTCAAAGAGGGGCAACTGTAGACACCCCATTTTTGACCGACCTTAAGACTCAGACGTCACTGATTGAGCGCTTGGTGATATTGCATATTGTGCTCGTTCAGAAGTTTCAGAGACTAGGCTACAAGCCTTGCCTCTGGACTTCCGGACTCTTTCGTGCCTTACCTCGGTTTGCGAACCAAGCTCAGTTTTTTCTGTTTTCTCTTCCCAAAGGGAGAGAGAGGTCTCGTAGATCATCCCTCAGTGGCCACAGGCTACATTTTGTGGTCGTAGGCCATTTTTTCCATTTGGAGCCCGGTTTCTGGTTTTTCAGAGCCGACAGCCGTATGCCTCGGTTCGGGACCACCTAACCACCTCTGTTTGCTCCGGTTTTTGGTATACACCTTATTTCCTCCCTTTTGAGGAACACTGTGGCCCGAGAGACCAACTTCGTGGTCGAACGCCACCTCCGGTGCTTAACAACCCATTTTCGGGGCCCCAGGCCGCGCGTTTCGGTCCCCCGAACCTCCGTTTTGCATCCGTTTTGGTTCATTTATGGTGGAGACCTTATTTTCATTGTTAGGAAGCTTGTAGGAGGGTGGGAGGCCATCAATTGTTCTGAAAAGCCAGCTTTATTACTTCATCGCTCTCCGTCGCCCGCTTTTCTCACTAAAATGCCAATGTTGACCACCCCGGAGCCACTTTCTTGAACCCTAAACCCCATATTTGTGTTGTACACACTTGGGAGGCTACCAACATTTGGGGGCCGACCAATAATTGTGCCTGACCCTTTTGACCCCCGCTAAAAAATGGTCTTTTCTCTCTCCTGGTTCACTTTTTCTGGGTTTCAACCACATAGTTGTGTTGTGCTCATTTGGGAGGCCACATTTCTGGGTAAGCCGACCAGTAATTGTGATTGACCCTTTTGACCCCTGGTCGGCTGACCAGGGGAGGTGGCCGGCCGACCACCTGAACCTTCTGAACCTGGTCGGCCAGAATCCTCTCACCTGGTTCTCTCAAGCTGTGTATTTTGTTTCCCCCCAGACCCTGTATCCGGGGGGTGCCCTTTTGGGGGGAAATTTGAATTTGATTTCCCCCCTTTTTCTCCTCTCCTTTGCCTATATAACCAACCCCTTAGCTGCATTTTGAAGGGTTACAAAAATGGGTTTGGAGCCTTTGCATTAAATCTCTCTCTCTCTCTCTCTCTCTCTCTCTCTCTCTCTCTCTCCCTATCTCTCTCTTCCAAACCCTTCAAACCCTAAGGTTCTTGCCCCCCCTTTTACACTACCACTCATAGCCTAAGGCCTCCATCCTCCATTCCAGCAACTTAAGGCTGATTTCCAAAGGTGAAGAGCTCCCAAAATTGGTCCAAGAGTTGTTGGAGCATTGGTCTACAAGGGTGAGTCCCATTTTTCCTCTTTTGTGCCTTATTTTGCTTTGTATCTAAGCCATACTTGCTAGCATTTTTGGGCTCCAACCCAAACTGGAAATAGTCATATTTTGAGCTCCTTTTCATGTTTGATTAACGGTATTTCTCTGTTTGAGGCCAACAGCTATCACTTGCCTCTTTAACTCTCTTTTAGGCCTTATTTTTGCATAGTATTTAAGGCCTATTTTTGAGTTGTTTTGGACTTTGCCATAAACTGTAAAATAACTTGTTTTGAGCCTCTCTTCAACATTGTTGAAGGGCTCTCCTCTGTTTGAGGCCTCCTGCTATCACTTGCTTCTTTATCACTCTTTTAGGCCAATTTTTACATAGTATTTTAGGCCTATTTGTGAGCTGTGTTGGATGATACTTGTCTCTTTACCCCTCTTTTAGGCCTTTTCTTGCATGATAATTTGGCCTTATTTGTGATTATTTTCGTGGCTTGATGTAAACTGTAAAGTGCCCTGTTTTGAGCCCCTCTTCAACTTTGTTGAAGGGCTCTTTGCCATTTGGGTCCAGCTGCTGTCCCTTTGTGTTTAATCTTTCTTTTAGGGCAATTTTTGCATGATAGATTAGCCCTAGTTGCATTCATTTTTGGGACTTGTTATAAACTGGAAATATGCATGTTTTGGGACTGTCTTACATCTGTCTTCATGCTTCATGATCAAATAATGCATGTTTTGTATAGCTATAGGCCAATGCGTATGCCTAGTTTTGTGTTTCGGGGCCATTCCATGCATCGGGTGCCATGTTTCCATGTGTTCGCGATCATTTTGCATCACATTTCAGTGCTGAAACTTGCATGTTTGTATGCCATATTTCGTGCCTTGCCATGCCTTGTTAGAGTGGCATTTGTGCCTTAGGATCGGTTCTCAGTTTGCGTGCATGTGTGCGCGCATTTCGAGTGCCTCATTTTCATCTCATGGCTACTGATGTGTGTGTGGCTGAGGTCCACTCATGTTGTGTAAGTCCATTGTGCATTGTGTATACCATTTCATTTCATAGCATTGTGTATGCTAGGTTGTATGTTAGCGCATTGTGTATGCCATGTTACCTCGTGCATCGTGTATGCCGTTTCATAGCATTGTCCATGCTAGGCTGTATATTAGTTGCATTCATGCATGTCATGTATATTGCATTGTGTTTGGGATAGGAGTTAGCCCGAGCACGGGAAACGAGGAACGTTTCGTACTTCGAGTGACGGAACGTGTCTCAATTTCCAGTCACCGACACTCCGAATTATCCATGATGGAGTCTAGGGCCTGTTGTGTTTTCATGTGCATTCATTCCATATTGAGTCGTGCAAATCGACTCCACGGCCATCATGCATCGAGATGCGTGATTGGTGGCACGAGGATCGAGGACTACACTCTCCGAAGAGTAATCATGCATACATATGTGAAAATACTTTGCCATGCCCCTTTGTTGCTCTTGTCGGCAGCAAATCAAGAATCAGCAACCTTCCGAAGCTTGGCAGCGCATTCCAAGAACAATTGTAAACAGAGGCAAAACCGGGGCATCGTAGTGGATTTTCGCACAAGGCAACCCGAGCATGCATCATTCATCATCCGGAGCAGCATGATTTGAGGCAGTTCCTGGCTTGCATGCCAATTTATTGCTTTCCTAATTTAATTTGTTAATTAATTAGGATTTTGTACATATTTGGACTGTAATTTTTGGACTGTATATTATTTATCGGACCCTCCGAGCAAGGGCAATGTTGTAATAAGTTGCCGTGTGTGTGATGTATTCTCCAACCCCACGTCTTTCTCCTTTTATTTAGGGATGTTTCAATTAGCATACAGTATGATAGCATGTTTGCATTCATTCATCTGTTTTGCATGCACCGAGCTCGGCGCATCATACTAACTGCATTGTATTTCAATTCCAAGTTGAAACATGTTTAGCTGTAGCATTTCATATGTCATGTTTAGAATAGCCGAGCCTGCTATAGTTGCATTGTTGCATGTGTTGCATTAGGCATTTCTGTATAGTTAGGATCATGCATGGATTTCTAATTAGCTTCTGTTTTGGCTTGGAGTACTCGGTAAGTTTTATGCTTTAAGCATCCTTGCATATGTGTGTGGTGACTGCCATGATAGCATGCTTACCATGAGGCTAATTGCTTATGTGATATATCTTGCCTGAATGCCTGTGGGTGAAGGTTGGGTTATTTGGATTGGAACAATTCATCAAAATGTGTGTTTTTAAGCCCCACTAGATAGTGGCAAAAATCATGTTTTAAACCCACCTGACGGTGGCAAATCCACATCTAGCCTACTTGCGGGTAGCCACCATCAAACATTTTCAAATAAAAAACATGAAATGTTTTGTTCCAATTCGGGCGATCCAGTCTATACTTATATGCTGTGTGCATCACATAGTAACCTAGGCTAATAACCGGAATAAGAATTCACAATGTTTTCAAAAATTGATATCGTGGTTAGTAGAGGCCGGTCTATGACTGGGCGAGCGGGGGTGCTCACGAAGTGACCTTCCCCAATCATATCCAAGTTCCCGAGCCGAGGCAACTTTGGTGATGACGGACACGTGGCCTTTTGGCACCGAGTCAGGGTTTCCTAAATTTCCCAAAATAAAATATTTAGGTGGCGACTCTGTATCTGGCAAAGCAGTCCATGTTTGGCACTTCTTTCAAAAAATCTGTTTTCTCAAAATGATTTGCCGGATTTGGACTCTTTGGTTCAGACTTAGAACCGTGACAAATTTGAGAGTCCTGAGCTGTAGTGACCCCAAATGAACAGAACGGGGGCTCGTCTCTCCCGGGGCGTTCGGGGACGTCTACAACCCTTCTTTTTATTAACCTTCCACCAATCAACAATCTCATTGGCTATTAAGACCCCATCTAATATATTTCTTCCACCCAAAAAAGTTGATTGAACCTCACCAATAACCTTTGGCACCTCCTTTTTCAATCTATTAGCCAACACTTTCGCTAGAATCTTATAAGCGGAACCAATGAGACTTATGGGCCTATAATCAGTTATGCTAATAGGACAATCAACTTTCGGTATAAGAGTAATAAAAGAATTATTCAGTCTAGAGACTAACTTTCCATAGTCATGAAACTCCTTAAAGAACTGCATAACCTCCACTTTGAACACCTTCTAACACTTTTGAAAACATGCCAAGTTAAAGCCATCAAGCCCTGGTGTTTTATTCCCATCACAACTATGAATAGCAGCCCAAACTTCCTCTTTTGAAAAAATAGCTTCTAAACCATCCACTAGATGACCCTGGCCAATAGATCTAAATTGCCCTCTCAATTGTGGACTGCCCCTCCAACCTTCAGAGAACACTTGATTGAAATACTTGAACACCTTTGTTCTCACCATGGATGGTTCCTCAAGTAACACACCATCAACTAACAATGAGTTCATAAAATTCCTGCACTGCCTACTTGAAGCTATGGTATGAAAATACCTTGTATTTTTGTCTCCTTTCATAGCCCAATCCAACATGGATTTTTGAAGCCACAACCATTCTTCCTTTTTGGACAAAGACCACACTAACCTCCTAACCTCTCTTCTACGAGCTATTTCATCAACCCCCAAATCTCTAGATTCAGCCACCAAATCCCACTCATGTAACTCCTCCTGAGCCTTTTTTAAAGAATAAGACACATTCATGACTTCTTAATAATGGAAGAAAAACTTGGATGTAAAAGCCAGGCATTAATAAATTTGAACGGCTTTGGCCCCCAATCCCTTCCATCCTCCATTAAAAGCAAAGGACAATGATTAGAAACACCCCTTGGTAAACCCCACAACTTCAACTTGAATTTTACCAACCATTCAGATGACAATAGAACTCGATCAATACGACTCCACCTGCCCCCATCCCCTGAATTTCTCCATGTGAATTGCCTACCGAACATTGGCAGATCAAACAATTCCAACCCTTCAATAAAATTATTAAATTCTATCATGCCTCTACCCCTTCTTGTACAGCCTTTTCTTTCCCCTACGAACCTAATCTCATTAAAGTCCCCTCCCAAACACCATGGTGTAGGAAAACCTGACTTTAACTTGCTAATAACATTCCACAACTGACCCCTCCTTGAGACATAATTCGGTGCATAGACATTGATAAATACACATTCAAAGTCTAGAAGGATAGTACCTGATAACAAAATGAAGCACCTAGAACTGCAACACTCTGATAATACAAAAAACGAAGTTCTCCAAAGACACAATATTCCTCCAGCCAAACCAACTGCATCCACACTCAAAAAATCAAAATCATCATCAGGCCAAATCGAACGAACTTCTTCCCTTGGCAACCTATCTTTCTTGACTTCTTGAAAAAACACCAAATCAACTCTTCGCTCCTTGAGAAATCCCCTAATTTTTCTTCTTTTCCCTGGTTTCCCAAAACCCCTAATATTCCAGGTCGTTAGCTTCATCAGAAAAACATAGAGAAACACCTAACCACCTGATGGCGTTATTCAATGATGAATAACACCATCCAGCTGAGCCACCATCCTCACATCCTCTTCTTCCAACTCCACAATTGTTTGAATTGCTTCTTGATCTTTACCACCGAAATCAATCCCTAAAGATTTTCCCAACTGTAAAGTCGCCTTTGCCTCATCTAAAACCAGGTTTCCCCTCCGATTAGGCTGGCCACCAGAACTTGATTTAGACAAAACAGATGATGCCACTCGGAAAACAGGTCCCTTTTGCCACATTGAAGACGAGCTACCAGCTCTAGCAGCTCCCTTCCCTCCCTTCTGAACTAAACTCCTCCCCTTTGATCCCTTACCTTGAACCAAAGATTTCTTTCTCCCCAAAACTTTACAATTTTGCTTATGAGGCCCTCCCGATCCTTCAGCTACCATGCTCAATAGAGACCTGGGCTGTGAAGAGCTCGTTGCAAAATTCCCACCAACCTGGGCCTGGACCACTTCCTTTCCTTTAAAACAATGGCCCACTCCCAAAGTTATTTCATTGGGCCTAACCAGCCCTTTTTCTTCAACAGCCTCATCCAACACTAATTGAATATTAATACCGGGTCTATCAAACCCACTACTAAGACTCTTCATAAACCCAGTTGAGACCAATCCAGCATCCACCCTTCTTTCAATAATGCTCTTGCTAGGGACAGATGGGCTATCATTGAATTCCCCAGACATGTGTTTAAAGATTCATCCACCATAGATGTAAACGAACCGACCAACTTCTCATCTTCCCCACTACCTTCTTCAACTGCCACGTCCTTCTGATAGAGAGATGCCACAACATCTTGACCTCCCACCTCATTATGCAAACTTCCTTCCACCTCAGCAAATTTCGCCACCTCATTATGCAACCTACCTTCCACCTCAGCAATTTCCTCCACCTCTGAACTACCATGTCTGACAAGCTTGTTCTCAGAATTGTTAGAACTAAGAGAATCTTGCTCTGAACATTTACAAACTCCGAATCTATGCTTCATGACTTGCTCCTCACAAACTCATACTGGAAACCTTTGACCTCTGCACCTCAACTGTACTACTATGCTAATGAAATTCGAACACGCTGTGGTAACTTTAACTCTACCACATCTAAAAGATGAAGGATTAGTCGTTTCATCCTCCACTCTAATTACCTCCCCCCATAAGCTTCCAATCTTTTTAAAAGTATCAACACTCCATAAGCTAAATGAAACTCCATAACAACACAACCACACACCTCTCTCATGGTCAATAGACCCCAACTCTGGCCATTCAGACACTGAATCGCACCACTCCTTCCAACACCTATCCAATAGTGTCATATTTGCCTTCAACTAGGAAGATGTGCGGAAGGTCACCACAACAGTCCTCCCAACTCCTTTTCTTACTTCAACTCCTTCTAGCCCAACCTCACCAACAACTTTTTTGAAATTTGAGAACGTGTAAAAACTTTTCAACTTAACAATAAGACTGTTGTATAACCATCCATTCGCCACTTCAATCACATCTACCGAACGACCCTCAGATTCGTGAATATTCCCAGCCTGAACTACCTCTGCATATGTCTTCACATCTATAAATGATGACTCTGCCTTCCGAAAATGTCTCCAGCCATTGACTTTACTTCTTCCATTACCACGCCCTGCATCGACAGCTTGATCCACACCTCTATTACGTGATGTGTCCTTTGCATACTCTGCATGCTTGACCCGTATAGCCTTATTGTCACACCAAACTCCATTGGCCTTCTGGATAGCCAAATCCGCTGCTACCAGGCAGTCGTACCTTACAAAACCAAACCTTGACCTCGTTGTTTTCCTAGATTTATTTGGAATGAAAACATCTCTAACCACCCTAAACTTCATAAACATGGCGTACAACCCTTTTGGATTCATGGACAGAGGGCTATTATCCACCAAAAGTGTGTGCATACCTGATTTGCTAATGTCAGACCTAGGAACCTGTTGCCTTCTTCCATAGAGTACAGGTCGCCATCCTCCCTCTATATTACTACTAGTTGTCAAAGAAAATAAATAGCATATTTCTACTATATGTCAAACAGTATATTACTAATATATTATTTTTTCAACCAGAATATTATTTGGTAAAACTACAAAAAATAATTCCCGTAAGAAAAAAAAAGAGAAAATGAAACAAATGAAAAATTCTGTTTTAAACAGAATAATTCGAATTTGTCTTAAGATTGTTGGAACAATCTTCTGTGTAAATTAAAAACGAAACAAATCAAACAAATAAAAAATAAATTACTTACCGAATTTATTTTACCGAACCAAATAAATAATTAAAAGATCAAATCGAGTGTGTGACACTCTATCCTTAAGACAGATTCGCCCCACTTCGATGCTTACAGACTACTGGTGTCTATCTCCCAGGATACAATGATCTTCACAAATTATAGTAGCACTCCAAACAATTTGTACGACGAACCAAACCTATGTTTTATACTCTCTTAATAGTTTCCTAAAAAATAATATGAAGCATAATACAACCAAAGAGTAAAATCGGGAAGGAAAGAATATTTCAGAATATTTTTCAGGATGTTTTTGGATGTAAAAAACTACTGGAACAGGTCTGGAAATTTATAGACCTGAACAGGTGTTATTTTCAAACTAGAACAGATTGAATTTGAAACCAATAGGTGCATTACTGTTTGAACAGATAACTGCTGAGCAATTTTTATCTGTTGGAATGCTACTGGTAGATTTGAATTTGTCTGGTAGTTTTAAATTTGTCTGGCAGTTAAAAAAAAAACCTATTTAACAGTTGGGAATTTAGTGGAATTCGCATGCATAATTTGTGGACAAAAAATTTGAATTCAACTACATTTTGAAATTCAAATAATTTCCTACAAGATTGTGAAAAAATTTAAATATATTAATGTTAGAACAGACCCGACCCATAACCCACACCCGCGCCCAGCATAACCTGTCGGCGGCGCACGTGTGGTGGTTTGGGCTAAGGTTCACTTTATCCATAACTCATCCCTTCTACAAACTTGGGATGCCCTTTGAGGCCCAACCCAAGTTAGTACACCAAGAGCTTATATACTCACAAAAGCTCACTTAAAGTTTTAATGTGGGACAAGCTTTATAAGGAAACCCATATTTAATTCTTTAAAAGTCCATTTCACGAACCCGAAAATGACATCAAGTTCCCATTCACTATAAATGGTTTTGACGGACCGTTTTTATCGTGTGACTTGCCATACAACAAGAAACACGTCACTTTTTTGACCCACTCCAAAAGACGTTTGGGGCCCACTCAAAATTGTGCTCAAAGTTGGTCCAAAATGAGCCTATAAAATCAAATTTTCCAACAATAACTCACTTTAAGATTAATTTTAACTTTTACCTTTCGCTTACTGCAACTCACTAAATACTCCAAACTAAACTCAAAATTTTATATATAAAACTTGGACGCCAGAGAGAGAGAGAGAGAATAAAAGAGTTTTTGGTGATGATGATGCTACTGATAGATAGCTATTTATATAGTAAAGGAGGCGTAGGAGGCAAGCAGTCTTGGGGGCCACGTATTGTTTGTTGTACAGAAAATGTTATATTTTAATATATTTTGGTTTAGGAAAAATATAGAGAAAAAAATAATAAAAATATCATAGAACTCAAAAAATAATATCGAATAATAATATGAAGTTAAAATTATTTTTTTGTAATCATTTATAATTAAATAATACTAATACAAAATTTAAGAGACAACTTAAATTTTCGGGTTGTTACAAAAATACTTTTTTGAAAAATTTACCTATAAATCCTATATTAAGAAATGGTAATCTATTTAGTTCCAAACATTTTTTTATAGACCAATTAGTCTTATTGATTTTGAAATGGTAGATTTAATATATTATTTAAAAATTAGATTTACGGTTATATCCTTATTTCTATTATGTTTCCTTCTCTTTTTTTCTTTTTTCTTTTTTTTTTCCTAGGAAGTGTATACAATTTATGAAAATCAAATTTGGGATGAATTTTTATATAAGAATCTTTTTTATTTGGAAAACATTTCAAAATAAGTATAAAAATGACTTAAAATATGGGATTTTCAAACCGTAACACTCCTAAAAAAAAATTTAGTGTACTTTTTTCAAACGTAATATTCTAATATAACACTCTGAAAAAAAACTCATTAGTGACCATTCTAATGTAACACATAAAAAAAAATTGTTAGTGTACTTTTTCCAAACGTAACACTCCAATATAACACTAAAAAAAAATAATAAAAGATGTGAGATTTTTCAAACCATTACAAAATGAGTACAAAAATTCCTTCATATGTTTTGGGCAAATATATAATTTCAAACTATAAGTGTTATGTTTGAAAAAAATAGACTAAAATTTTTTAGTGTTTTTATGTATATTACATTGGAGTACGTTACATTAGAGTGTTACGTTTGGGATTACATTCATTGAAGTGTTACGTTTAGAAAAACTACACTAAGGAGTTTTTTTTTTTTTTTTTTTGATACATTGGAGTGTTACATTTGAAAAAAGTACACTAAGAAGTTTTTTTAGTGTTATATTTTTATATTTAGGAAAACTACACCAATGAGTTTTTCAGTGTGTTACATAAGAATGTTACATTAACTAACAATGAGTTCATAAAATTCCTGCACTGCCTACTTGAAGCTATGGTATGAAAATACCTTGTATTTTTGTCCCCTTTCATAGCCCAATCCAACCTGGATTTTTGAAGCCACAGCCATTCTTCCTTTTTGGACAAAGACCATACTAGCCTCCTAACCTCTCTTTTACGAGCTATTTCATTAACCCCCAAATCTCTAAATTCAGCCACCAAATCGCACTCATGCAACTCCTCCTGAGCCTTTTTTAAAGAGTAAGACACATTCCCAAACACCTCTGTGTTCCACTTCTTCAAATCCAATTTCAGATTTCTAAGCTTCATAACAATCACAAAGCCTGCCCACCCCGAAAAAA